TTTGTCTAACAGATTCACATATTCAGAATTTTCTAACGTATTACATTTAGTTGATGTGTTCGAAATATCATTTTTTATAACTTTAGGCAAAGTATCTCGGCTTCAGGAGGTAGAAGATTATGGTCGTGATCAGTTATTAGGTTACTGAATTCTTCTTCAGTATTCTCATTATGATCATCTTCTTTTTCAAGCGAGGTATTTGCTATTTGTACGATTTGAACTCTAGTCTTTAGAGTTATAAGTTCATTGTGTACCTCATTTATTTCACTCTTTAGCTCAGGGATCGAAGGTTTCCTTTGAGTTTGTGTTTTGTTTTAGACTCTTTTAGAATATCAGTAAAACTACAGTCTTCCCTAGTTGGGATGAGGGAGTAGTGGAACTAGAAGGTTCTTTGGCAATATTTATATATTGCATCAAGGCTTCTTTTTTAGCCTTTGGGTCACTTATTTTATCATTTAAGTCTATGATTAAATTCTCTTCTTTTGTTAGTGTGCTTAAGTTTAAACCATTCTTATCAATAGTAGCCTTTAAAAAATTATACTGGCAGTTATTATCAAGTATATTCTCTAAATCTGAATTAGAGTCTGAGCTAGTAAAGATCAAATTTTCATCATTTATTTCTCCAATAAGTATTTCACTATTAGAGTTAAAAGACTCATCAGAGTCATCTCTTTTTATTAAAAGGATGTCAAATAATTGTTTTTTAATATTTGAATCTATTTCGAGTGCATTAATTTTCTTTTTTACTCTGCATTTGTTTATATAATGTGCTACCTTTCCGCAGTTGTAGCAAACTGGTATTTTTCTTTTTCCCCTTCGTTTAAAAGAATGGTCTTGTAAAATTTTTTTAGGTAAAGTATTTTTCTTCTCTTGAATATTTAGACCTTTTTTTTATGTAAGTCTTTATATTTTTGTTTGTGGGTAGGATTTGAAGGTGGCAAAGTATTATACCCAAATTGTTGGCAAAAATCTCCTAATTCATTTTTCCCAGTCATTCTTTGGTTTTCTAATTGTCTTCTTAGTTTTAGGTCTGTGCATCATGCAAGACCTTCAACACTGATTTCTGCTGAGAGTTCTCCAACGGTATAGAGGGAGTAAGGTATAGTTCCTTCATGCTTTTCTTAAGCCTTGTCTTGACCTTTTCGGCGAACAGATGGGGAAGTCCAGCTATGAATTTTTCTTTCCAATGATCGGCTTTACTATCATCTCTAGATAATAATCTGGAGTAAAAAACGTCTGTATACTATTTAAAGTGTGAGACGGTTGGACATTGTACATTGAACAGTAAGTCTTCAGACCTAGCAAATAAAAGAATTGTACTTCCTACAAAATGGAGCATAATAGTGTAGATTAGAGTATTAACTGCGTCTCCCTCGTCTACAATGGTTTCTTGTACCTATCTAGGTACAATTTCAATTTTCACAACCCATTGCTTAGTAGCATTTAAAATTTGACCTTTAGCTTCTTCATCCATATGAAAATCACACCAATCTATAAGCCATCTTGTAAAACCACATATAATGGCTTTGGCTATTTCATGATCTTTATTTTCGCTTGCATTACAAGCAGTGGCAAACATCGTCATATGTTTCATAGGTCAAGAATTTGGTTTTTCGACATGCCGTCTATATTCCAATTTACAATAGACCTCCCTGAATGTGACATAGAGCTAGCTATAAGGTCTTATTCTATTTGGAGATCTACCGAAGTAGGTCGAGGATAATACATCCTAGTTGGGGCTACAAGCCTAGTTTTTCTTCCATAATCTATTCGATTAACATCTAAGCTTTCGAGTTTAAATGCCTTTTCTATCTCAGATATCTTTTAGTTTGAAAAACTATCATCTTCCTGAAGAACTTGCGCCTCACCAATTGTTTTCCCCTTTCCAGCTATGTTTAATTTTTCAATTCTTTTGACCAGCTCATTCATCAATTCTTTATTGTCCTCTTTTTGTTTAAGTCCTTGCAGTCTAAATTTTCCTGCTGCTATACTTGGTGGTGGTATAAATAAGACTGTTCCTTTCTCCTTTTCCTCCATTTTCTCTTGAGGTCATATTTTATGTAGTACATTTTCTATTCTACTGGTTTGCTTACATATGGTTTGTTGAAAGAGATTTGTGTAGTTATTTTGTTCTATTATATGAGGTATTCTTTCGAGTTTGGCCATTGATTTTCAGATTCTTTGGGCCCTAACTTAAGAGGTGAAGCTTTTATTTTATGTTTTTCCCCTCTTAATTGTAAGCGTGATTCAGGGAGGTGGATAGATTCTATTTTTTCACCTTTAATTGTATGAAAAGTTTGAAAGGTATTTTGAATTGTATTTATTTTAAATTCTGGATACCTAATCCCTCTTTTTTTTAGAATATATCTGAGCCATTTAAAGAATTTGACATTTGTTTTGTGTTGTAACATAAATTTATTAAACTTTATATGAAAAGCATTTTTTAATTTTTCATCGTACTCCTAAAAAAACCATTCTCTTATTTGTTTGTTTTCTTCTGAGAGGAAATCTTTTCGGATCCACTCTTTATCAATAATAAATTCATTGGATATTTGGATGGTGAGAATTTCGAAATCGAATTCAGAAAGAGTTGGTTCTTCATGTTCAGTCAGAGAAAGACTGGGTATCAACCTTATAAATGGGGTGTTGGACTTGGTTTGAAGCTTTTTTTAATCCTTCAATACCTATCCTCTCATTATGGGCTTTTTCATAATCAGTTTGAGGAATAGAGGAGGTTGAAGTTCTAGGTGGAACTCTGGGATGTAAATTGGAAATACTCAGCCTAGTTCTCATAGAGAATGGGAACTGTATTTCTATTTCTCTATCAGGATATTCAACTATTTGTTCAGGTTCCCTATTTTCAGGGATCTTAGTCTGGGTTCCAGACTAGAGTGACCATTTTTCATGTAATTTTACCTGTTTCCAAGATACAGACCTAGGTATTACTAAATTGGATTTGTCCGTATTAGTTTGAAAGAAAATAGTTTGTCTTTTAGTATCCATTTGCCTAGCATTAGGGCAAAGAGAGTTCATAACCTTATAACAGATTCTATAAACAAAAGCTAGGTTTTGTGATCCTGGATCCATTTCAAAACCTTGAGTTTTAAGGTTAAGAGTTAAAACTTTTAATAGATTAGGATCCGACAGTGCTACTGAGAAATTTGGAAAGCAGTTGAAGTATATAAAATCCATTACACATAGTGGATTCTACGATTCCTAATAAAGGATCGGTAAATCGTTTATGTCTATTAAAAAGAATAGAACAAAATTGTTTAATCATGTCCTTGTTAAGGGTTTTACTGCTATTTGGACAAGACCTATATGAAGATAGTTATAATCCTTCTTTTTATGCTCATCAATCATTCTAGTTGATAAAAGTTGAAAACTATCTTGAGTCTCCATTACAGAAATAGTCTTTTCAATAGTTTTCATTGAAAAACTATAAAAATCAAAAGTCCCTTTTTTATAAACATCAGTTGTGGGAACTTTTGGAATATTTCAATTATGAATTTGTTTTTCTATATTATCGATAACCACTTCTTCCCTATTATTCACTCGGAGAGTATTACTATTGGAGCTAGAAGAAGTTCTATTCGATAATGTCTTGAATAAAGTTGTCATTTAAATCTTGGTATTACCCATGGTCAACTGGAACAGTCCCTACACCTTCCTGCCCTTCTGGCTAATGGAGGTCATCGGGTCACAGCGACTTGAGAGATTTTGACTAGATTTATATGAGCAAGAATGTTCAGTTCACCACTGAATATATCCTGGCTCTGATACCATAAGTAGAGGAAGAGACAAAGGGAAGATAGAAAGAACAATTTAGATGCAATTTAGATACGGAAGGAGTAACTAAATAGCAGAAATGTCAACTAGAAATTTCCTTTTTAGACTGGAAACCATCTCTCATCCCTACTATAGACTATTGGAATAATCTATAGTTCTAGCTCGAGAAAGAGCCTAGCTTCCCAATCTACTCCAAAAGCTTTAATACGAAAGTAAGTTCAGGAGATTGATCTATCTCCCCAATCCCCTATGTGCACAAATAATCAATGTGCAAATAGAACCACGTTCCTTGAAACAACATATATACTGCTGATAATTATTGAAAATGATCATAGGGAAAAAGACCCTGTTGAAATAGCAGCTATATACTTACGCAATCACCTTCATCCCAATGTGGGAGACAATTGCAGAGAATGGGATGAAACCATACTGATGGAAACAGGGTCAGTGTCTATAGCACACCATTATATAAATAATGACTCTGAAATAGCCTACTTGAAATTTCAAATTCACAAAATCATCTCTTATAGAGACTGGGGATTAAATCCTTTAAAACCAAGGATGTTGAATACTAAAGGATTTTAAAAAAAATCCTATCATTATTTTGAAGATATAAAGGAGTGGGATGAGTTTTTTTTCCTACCAAAATACAAAAACGACGCATAGCTGGTACGTACAGTTTAAAAGAACTGAATCAATATAGTTTCTTAACTGGTTTAAAAGTTGGTTCTTATTATCGGGATCATGCAGCCAGATACTGCCTCAAAAATTAAAAATTTCACAGAGAAAATTATCTGATTATAATAAAAATAGTCTCAAAAAAGACCATCATCTCTATTTTGTGGCCTTATATCAGGTCCCCTAGATTTTAAAATGGGCGTATCAACTCTCTTTGGACGACATGGATCAATGGGATTATATCCCGAAATTACGCCGACAGATATCAATAAAATGGTGAGATAATTACAAGAATGATTCCCTGGACCCAGAGAAAATTCACATGAAAATGATACCTTCTTCCTCCGCAAGTTTTAATATGGATTTTCTGAATACATTACATTAATGCAACATAAAAACCCTACACTATCAAAAGCCGAGCTTAAAAAGAAGCTGCTTTTAGCCCTGGAAGAAAATGAAGACAAAATATCTACCACAACAAAAGACGAAGAAATAGAAGATTATAGCTTGTTAAATGACGATGACTTTTGCAGGGATTACATTCTCCCCTTTACATTCTTCCCAATGAATTAAAAGCAAGGGACGATACGACTCCAAATACATTTAGGACACCTGTCCCTAAATCTACAGTAAAGAGCACCGACAAGTTGGTCACTGTTGCTACAGTAAAAAGGAGCATTATTGTCACTGATAAATTGGTCACAGTAGAAGAATATTACTTTTACTTTTTCTTTTCTAAAAAAAGCATTCTACTTTTTCAAAGCATCTTACTTTCTGTCGGTGCGGATTTGAAACCCTTTGAAGTCCGACCCCTCCTCTATATAAGGAGGCCTGACCAAAGGGGAGAACACCTTCGTTTCGAGTCTTTTGAGTGTTTGCTTATTGTCCGAGTGTTTGCTTATTGTCTGAGTGTAAACTTTGCTTAAGTTGTTCGAGTCTTCTTAAGAAGAGGAACCACTCAGTTGGTATATCATTTTTTTCTTCAAGGCTATCATGTAAGTGTTACAACTTTGTTTTATATTATAACCTTGTATTAAATATGTATTTTAACTTTTCGTCCATTTAGTTACTCATTCCGTATCTAAATTGTTATTTCTATCTTCCCTTTGTCTCTTCCCCTACTTATGATATCAAAGCCAGGATATATTTAGTGGCGAACTGAACATTCTTGTTCATATAAATCTTGTCAAAATCCCTAAAGTCGTTGTGACCCGGACGACGACCATTAGCCAGAAGGGCAGCAAGGTGTAAGGATTGTTTCTAGTCGACTCCGGGTAATACTAAGATTTAAATGGCAAATTTATTCAGGACATTATCGAATAGAACCTCTTCTTGCTCTAGTAGTATTACTCTCTGAGTGAATAATAGGGAAGAAGTGATTATCAATAATATAGAGAAACAAATTCAGAATTGGAATTTTCCAAAAGTTCCCACAACTGATGTTTATAAAAAAAGGACTTTTGATTTTTGAAGTAGTTTTTCAATTAAAACTATTGAAAAGACTATTTCTGTAATAGAGACTCAAGATGGTTTTCAGCTTTTATCAACTAGAATGATTGACGTGCGTAAAAAAAAGATTATAACTATCTTCATATAGGATTTGTCCAAATAGCAGTAAAACCCTTAAGAAGGACATGATTAAACAATTCTGTTCTACTTTGTTTAAGAGATAATAGACATAGAAGATTTACCGATTCTTTGTTAGGAATCATAGAATCTAATGTGTGTAATGGACCTATATACTTCAACTGCTTTTCTAATTTCTCAGTAGCTTTGTCGGATCCTAATCTATTAAAAGTTTTAACTCTTAACTTAAAAACTCAAGGTTTTGTTGTGGATCCAGTACAAACCTAGCATTTGTTTATAGAATATGTTATAAGATTATGAACACTCTTTGCCCTAATGCTAGGCAAAAGGATACTAAAGGACAAACTATTTTCTTTCAAACTAATATGGAAAAACCAATTTACTAATACCTAGGTCTGTATCTTTGAAACAGGTAAAATTACCTGAAATGGTCACTCCAGTTTGAGACCCAGACTAAGATCCTTGAAAATAGAAAACCTGAACAAATAGTTGAATATCCTGATGGAGAAATAGAAATACAGTTTCCATCCTTTAGGAGAACTAGGCTTAGTATTTCCAATACATCCCAGAGTTCCACCTAGAACTTCAACTTCCTCTATTCCTCAAACTGATTATGAAAAAGCCCATAATGAGAGGATAGTTATTGAAGGATTAAGAAAAACTTCAAACCAGGTCCAACACCCCATTTATAAGATTGATACCCCCAGTTCTTCTCCTACTGAACATGAAGAACCAACTCTTTCTGAATTCGATTTCGAAATTCTCACCATCCAAAAATCCGATGAATTTATTATTGATAAAGAGTGGATCCGAAAAGATTCCTCTCATAAGAAAACAAACAAATAAGAGGATGGTTTTTTCAGGAGTTTGATGAAAAATTTAAAAATGCTTTTCATATAAAACTTAATAAATTTATGTTACAACACAAAACAAATGCCAAATTCTTGAAATGACTTGGAGATATTCTAAAAAAAAAAGGGATTCGGTATCCAGATTTTAAAGTAAATACAGTTCAAAATACCTTTTAAACTTTTCATACAGTTAACGGTGAAAAACATGAAATAAAAGCTTACAATTAAGAGGGGAAAAACATGAAATAAAGCTTCACCTTTTAAGTTAGGGCCTAAACAATCTGAAAATCATTTGGCCAAACTCGAAGGAATACCTCATATAATCGAACAAAATAACTACACAAATCTCTTTCTACAAACCATATGAAAGCAAACTAGCAGAATAGAAAATGTACTACATAAATTATGATCCCAAGAGAAAATGGAGGAAAAAGAGAAAGGAACAGTCTTATTTATACCACCCCCAAGTATAGCAGCAGGAAAATTTAGACTGCAAGGAATTAAACAAAAAGAGGACAATAAAGAATTGGTGAATGAGCTGGTCAAAGGAATTGAAAAATTAAACATAGATGGAAAGGGGAAAACAATTGGTGAGGCGCAAGTTCTTCAGGAAGATGATAGTTTTTCAAACCAAAAAATATCTAAGATAGAAAAGGCATTTAAACTTGAAAGCTTAGATGTTAATCAAATAGATTATGGAAGAAAAACTAGGCTTGTAGCCCCAACTAGGATGTATTATCCTAGACCTACTTCGGTAGATCTCCAAATAGAATAAGACCTTATAGCTAGCTCTGTGTCATATTCAGGGAGGTCTATTGTAAATTGGAATATAGACGGCATGTCGAAAAACCAAATTCTTGACCTATGAAACATATGCCGATGTATGCCATCGCTTGTAATGCAAGTGAAAATAAGGATCATGAAATAGCCAAAGCCATTATATGTGGTTTTACAGGATGGCTTATAGATTGGTGTGATTTCCATATGGATGAAGAAGCTAAAGGTCAAATTTTAAATGCTACTAAGCAATGGGTTGTGAAAACATAAATTGTACCTGGACAGGTACAAGAAACCATTGTAGACGAGGGAGATACAGTTAATACTCTAATCTACACTATTACGCTCCATTTTGTAGGAAGTATAGCTCTTTTATCTGCTAGATCTGAAGACTTACTGTCCAATTTACGTTGTCCAACCCTCTGACACTTTAAATGGTATAGAGACGTTTTTTACTCTAGATTATTATCTAGAGAGGATAGTAAAGCTGATCATGGGAAAGAAAAATTTATAGCCCATCTGTTCACCGAAATGGTCAAGACAAGGCTTAAAAATAAGCATGAAGGAACTATTCCTTACTCCCTTTATACCTTTGGAGAACTCTCAGTAGAAATTTTAGTTGAAGGTCTTACGTTATTCACAGACCTAAAACTAATAAGACAATTAGAAAAGCAAAGAATGATTGGGAAAAAGGAATTAGGAGATTTTTGCGAGCAATTTGGGTATTATACTTTGCCTGCTTCCAATCCTACCGACTAACAAAAACATAAAGACCTACATTAAAAAAGGTCTAAATATTCAAGAGGAAAGAAAAATACGTTTCCTAAAAATTTATTACAAGGCCATTATTTTAAACAAAGGGGAAAAAGAAAAATACCAGTTAACTACAACTGCGGAGAGGTGGGACATTATAAAAATAAATGTAGAGTAAAAAATAAAATTAATGCACTCGAAATAGATTCAAACATTAAAAAAACAATTATTCGACATCCTTTTAATAAAATGATATGACTCTGATGAATCTTCTAACTCTGATATTGAAATACTTAATGGAAAAATAAATGATGACGATTTGATCTTTACTAGCACAGATTCTGATTCAGATGCAAAGGATATGCTTGATAATAGCTGCCGGTGTAATTTTTTAAAGGCTACTATTGATATGAATGGTTTAAACTTAAACACACTAACAAAAGAAGAGAATTTAATCATAGATTTCATTGATAAAATAAGTGACCCAGAGGCTAAAAAAGAAGCCTTGGTGCAATATATAAATATGGCCAAAGAACCTGCTAGTTCCACTATTCCTAAATCATCTCTCATCCTTACTAGGGAAGACTATAGCTTTACTGATATTTTTAAAAGAGTCCAAAATAAAACACAAAATCAAATAAACGAGGTACGCAATGAACTTCTAACTCTAAAGACTAGAGTTCAATTCTTAGAAATAGCAACTACCTCTCTTGAAAAAGAAAATGATCATAATGAGAATACTGAAGAAGAATTCAGTAACCTAATAACAGATTACGACCATAATCTTCTACCTCTTGAAGCCGAAAATACTTTGCCTAAAGTTCTAAAAAATGATATTCCTAACACATCAACTAAATGTAACATGTTAGAAAATTGTGAATATGTGAATCTGTTAGACAAAGTCATAACACAGAGATAGTTCACCATTGTTAAAATAGTTGTCTAAAAAGAATATACTTTCCAAACCACTGCTCTCATAGATTTAGGGGCAAATTTAAATTGTATAAATGAAGGCCTAGTTCGAACAAAATACTTTAACAAAAACAACACAGGTCTTAAACACCGTTGACGGATGTTGATTAACTATAAACTGTCTGATGCTGCGGTCTGTAATAACGGTGCATGCTTTTAAATTTGCATTTATCATGGTTAAAGGATTAAGCCAGCCTGTTATTCTTGGAGCCTCTTTCCTAAATATGCTTTATCCCTTAAAAATTGATAATCTTCTACCTCCTAAAGCCGAAAAATACTTTGCCTAAAGTTCTAAAAAATGATATTCCTAACACATCAACTAAATGTAATATGTTAGAAAATTGTGAATCTGTTAGACAAAGTCATAACACAGAGATGGTTCACCATTGTTAAAATAGTTGTCCAAAAATAAATTTTCCAAACCATTGCTCTCATAGATTCAGGGGCAGATTTAAATTGTATAAATGAAGGCCTAGTTCGAACAAAATACTTTAGCAAAACAACACAGGTCTTAAACACTGTTGACGGAAGCAAGATGTTGATAAACTATAAACTGTCTGATGCTGTGGTCTGTAATAACGGTTCATGCTTTAAATTACCATTTATCATGGTTAGAGGATTAAGCCAGCCGGTTATTCTTGGAACCCCTTTCCTAAATATGCTTTATCCCTTAAAAATTGATAATACTGGAACAAAAGCTGATATTGAAGAACATGAGGTAAAATTTTATTTTATAGATAAACCTAAAGTCCATGAGATTAATAATATTAAAAATAAAATATCCACAAAGGAAAAATTCCATTTCATTTAAAAGAATAAATCAAATAGAAGACCATTGATGAAAAGCTTATGTCATCTCATAAGCAAAGTAAAATCAGCAATTTTAAAACAATGTTGGAAAAAGAAATATGCGTTGATATCCCTAACGCTTTTTGGAGTAGGAAACAACATATTGTTGAGCTTCCTTATTAACCAGATTTCAATGAACAAGAAATTTCTACTAAAGCTAGACCTATTCAAATGAATCATAGGCTCTTGAAAATTTGTAAAACTGAAATACAAGAACTACTTGATAAGAAACTTATCAGAAAAAGTTCCTCACCATAGAGTTGTGC